TACTAGCTCATACTGTGTGTTTTTTTTCAGAAGGCTCCTTTGAAGCGAACCTACTCAGGCGGCCAGCTGATCAACTACGACCAGCTGGTGTCCCTCCTGACAGAGGCGAGGGAAGAGGGAGGGAGGATCCTGGCCCAAGCTCCAAGCTGTTTGGGGGAGCTTTATGACACCCTAAACTCCTTCTGGCTGTGGAAATTACAACCAGAATCCTAAGAAGCCCTCACAGACTCATACCCTCAAACCCTGAGCCTGTATATGGGTGGTTGTCAAAATTAGGGTCCCTTTCTGGGTACCCTAAATATTAGGTGCCCTATTATATTACGGACCCAAAAAGGGACCATAATTTTGACAACCACCCATATGATCTTGGCGACGTGAGCCTCAAATCACTGCATCGGAGACTTTGCTCCAGGCCGCCGTTCTCCCTGAGGGCAGCTCGACGGCGAACGCGACCTTCCGGCGGCGCAGGCTCGTAACTTTCTGGAATTCGAGCTCTTGAAACAAGGTGATCCGTGTTCAGGAACTGTTTAGGGTTTAGGGTTTAGGGTTTAGAGTCATGGAAGCACTTACCTCTAAGCCCGAATCCCTGCCTTGGTTAAGGTTCAACAGATGCGAGGTGGCAGTTGGACAAAGTCCTCACTGCACAGGTTGAACTGAAGAAGGCTCATATAGGGTTATGTCAACACTGTAGCGTTTAGGCTTTCAGGAGTTCGATGGAACAGCTAACGTGTAATATAGGGGCTTAATCGATTATCTATATTATTTGGGGTTTCCTTATTTTTATCGGAGTATTATTGGCCCCAAAACCCTAGTCTCATTATTAAGGCCCCTAAACCCTAAACCCTTATAGTAGCCCTTATAGAATCCCTAACCCTGTAAAGGAGCCCCAAAACCAGGGGTTGATGATATAAATCCTGCATTACCCACAATAAGGAATATACCAGAATTCCCATAGTTTAGGGTCCTTAAGGTAATGCATCAGCAGTAGAACCCCTAAACCCTGCACCTTCCAGATCATCACGTCCTGGTGGCGTAAATTCGTGGTGGCATGGCTTTAGCAAAAAGCTTCTTCTTTGTCTGCTACGTGCATATATGCATGCGAAATGACCCTTAAGACACTTCCCAAATCCAAACCTCAAAGAATCAACACGTTTCTTGAAACTCTAAACCCTAAACCCCGAACCCCAACAGCCGAAAAGCTTTTAGAGAACCACAGTGCCCCAGGGAACAGTTTCAGCCCACTTAAACCCTGAACCCGAAACCCTGAAACAAAAGCACCTAAAGCCACAAAGCCCAAACCCGAAACCCTGAACCTCAGACCCTAAACCCTCAAACCCCGAAACCCTAAACCCTAAACCCTAAAACCCTAAACCCTAAACCCTAAACCCTAAACCTTAAACCCCTAAACCCTAAACCCATAAAGCCCGTGAAAGGCTGGTCGGTCGAGAGGTGATGCCGGCATGGAAGGTCCCACCGGCTGGCGTAAAGGTTGCAAGAAGCCTGAATAATTACTTTGGGTCTAGGGTTTAGGGTTCAGGGTTCAGGGTTTAGAGTTTAGGGTTTAGGGTTTAGGGTTCAGGGTGTAGGGTTTAGGGTTTAGGATTTAGGGTTTAGGGTTTAGGGTTTCGAGTTCCTGGTTCTCATTATAAACTCATGTTTGCACCAAAACTGCCTTCTGATCATTAACGCCCCGATACTACTCCAATAGGTGCCATTTTTTAGCAGTTGTTCTTCTTTCTGCCGAAGCAAAAATAGTTTGGGGCTGTTCCCTCGACCCTAAACCCTGAACCCCCAATCCCTAAATCGACAGGTACTGTACGGCTTGTTTTGAGGGTTCCATTCAGGGTTCCTTCTGTTGATGATATACATCCTGTGTTAACACCCAAAAACGGAATATAACATAATTCCCATAGTTTAGGGTCCTTAGGTAATGCAGGATTTATACTATACCCCTAAACCCTAAACCCGAAACCCTACACCCTAAACCCTAAGCCGTTTCAGGGTTCTGTAAGAAGGTTACTGAAGGGATCATGGGGACCTCGTAAGGTCGGGTGTAGGTTTTGGGTTTGAAGGCGTTTTTGGGCTCGAGGGCTTTGGGGCTTTGCGGCTTTAGGGCTTTGGGGTTCAGTTTAGGGTTTAGGGTTTATAAACCCTAAACCCTAAACCCCTAAAACCCTAAACCCTTAACCCTAAACCATAAACCCTAAACCCTCAGAACCCTAAACCCTAAACCCTAAACCCTAAACCCTAAGCCCTAAACCCCTAAACCCTAAACCCTAAACCCTAAACCCTAAACCCTAAACCCTTCAGGCTTTAGGGTGTAGGTCTAAGGCTGTCTTGGGGTGTCAGGGCTTTCGTGGGCTTTGAGGATTTGGGGCTCACGGGGCTCCTGTCGAACATTGGTGAGTGGGTTTAGGGTTTAGGGTTTAGGGTTTAGGGTTGAGGGTTGAGGGTTTAGGGTTTAGGGTTTAGGGTTTAGGGTTTAAAAAGTTTAGGGTTT